GGTTACCATACATCATCATCATATTATCTTTCTGTTTCTGTTTGTTTTTCCGAGTGCGTATAACCTGAACCTCTTCAAGGTTAAAATAACAGGCTTCTCCTGGACAAACTTGCTCCATCATAGACCTCATCTTTGCCCTTGGGCCAGATGGTCAAGAGAGCCAATGAGAGCTCTAATTTAAAAAAAGCTCTAATGCTATATAAGCTGTTTTGGCCCTAAAGACTGTAGCAAGGAGTGGCTTGACTCTAAACTCCAGTCAAGCGACCAACATTATAATTCGTCATCATCATCATCATCATTACAGCCCTTCACAAGTCGACTGCTGTACATAGGCTACCCCCAAGGAACGCCACAAAGCACGGTCCGTAGCCACCTGTATCCATCGACTTCCTGCATATCTTATCAGGTCGTCACTCCAACTAGTGGGGGCCGCCCTACAGTTCACTTACCAGTACGAAGTTGCGGCTTGAGAACCTATCCCTAATATTATACTTACCTTAATTAGGAGCTATTAAATGAAAAGGCATATTTCGATATAATTTTATTTTATTTTCATATTTTTATAATTCATTTATATATTGTAATGACTATAATCAACTACCAAACTAAATAATATAATTCAACAGCATCTTTTATATACAATATGTATAGTTATAGGTCTTATAATTCCTCACTTCCGAACGTTAAAAAAGAGACAGTCGTCTAATTCATATAAAATAATGTTGAAACAAACTACGCTCGTTATAGATTTAACAAGTAATAATTTGCCACAAGTTTTGTTTATTATTTATTTACAAACCTTACATTAATTTAGTCCCATAATTTTCCAAAAAAAAAAGAAACTGCCGGCGCTTAAATGGGGGCGAAGTCAACTGACGCGAGTGAACAAGGTAGCGCCGACCTCGTGCAACAATTAATAAAATTGAGTAAACTTAACTGCTTTCATTAAAGTACATATCAATTAAACATTGCAAGAGCACTAATATGACTCGTCAGATTGAGTACCTACCTAAATCTGTACACATTCGAGACCAGTGCTACAAGTTATGGCAGAAAGAGTTGTGCGGCCGTCGTCATATTTAGTACGTCTTCAAACTATAATTTTAAGAACACTTGTTATAGTTCCCATAAATAATAACTTAGAAAAAAGTTTGACGTAAGTAATTATACATTGTCTTAAATCTTAACCTAAAAAATTATAGGTAATTATAGCATGACGACGGTTGCACAAAATTATTAAATATACGGAAAATATATTTATTTTAAATAAATCCCTCGAACATTAATAACATCCGATACATCAACTACTTTGTCACGAAAATCTATTTAGAATAAAATGCTAGCAACCTGTACAGTATGGAACGTGACGTGTTATTATAATCTGTTATGTCAATGAAAGGGTCACAGATCAAAGAAAACTAAATTACTAAGCTCAGCTTTGTTCTATACACTAGGAAAATGGAAAATGGTAAATTCTGTTAATCATTTTCTGTTTAGTTTTCTTTGGCCTGAGAATTCTTACAACGTTTTATTAATTCTAAGTTGATCTTAGAAGCGTTACGTAGAAAAGTTAAACGCCGTCACGAAACTACGACGGCCACTACGATCATCGCGACTATCTAAGTAGTCTGAAATATAAGACTGATATGCGACCAGATATAGAACGGTGCATCTACAGCAGCTAGTGTGCTCAACTAACCCTCAAACACAAAATACATAGCGCGTGACGTTGAAGATTCTCCACATGTGCTAATTAACTATTAAGGAAAATATTGATTTCTCTACTAAATTCCATAAAAAGGCGTGTGGCCCACGTAATAAAATAATGCCTTTAAAATCTATTTAAACTTTAAATTGGAACTGTAAAATTCATTACTTTCAATTGCATATTCCTGACAATAGTTAACACTAAAAAACACTGTTAGCCATAACATTCGTAACGAAATAATTTTTAAAGAACTACTTTGTATTCTAGAATAGATTATTAAAAAAACGTAGAACGACTTATATACTATGCGCTTTAAAATAAGTTAGTTTATAAATGAGGTTACGTTTGGTTGCCCGTTAAAGTTAAAAGAATAAAAATATGATGTGAAATAAAAATAATCAACAGTTATTATGGATATAAATATGCATATATATATATATATATATATATATATATATATACATATATATATAATTATTTGACTTGAGTTTTGATATAAAATCCGTTTCAATCTTATAATGAAGTTGTGAATGGGCATACAAAAATAGCATAAAATGAGAATATTAATACACTACAAGATATTTTAAAATAAATAGTAATTAATATAGTAGATCAAGTTACATGTTTCTAAAATGTACTTGTTAATCTTAACTATTTAAACACTTGACTAAATAAGGCATTACATAGAAAAGCGATAAGCAACAAAAGGATTATCAGTGACAATAAAGAGAGAATAGAGAGAGGTGTTAAAAAAATGATTATTGCCACGCGATACACCGATTTCACTATAGTACTTAGATATAAAGCAGAGGAAACTCGCTGTGTGTTTTTGCGGTTTTCGAAAATGGTAGAAAGTTAATTATCAAAATGGTGATACTGACATGCAAATGTTTTTATTTTTATTTCAATTGTATTCGATCCTTTGATGACGAACGAAACTATACCATTTACATTACATATTACATTGATACATTTATAATATTATGTATTTTGTTTTGTATACACAGAGAGTTTCTCTACAAACCTATTATTTATCCAGCGATATACATAGTGCAGTTATTTGTTACATTACATATTATTAGTTATCGCTTTATTTTTATTTTGTATTTTTAACTAGCAACACCAACACGACACCAATTGGTCTGGTCTACTTTAGGTTGGCAACCTGCGCGTAGTAAGTATTGCTATCATTAGTATGTGGTGACAAGCACCGTGACGTTTCATAATAATAAAAACAATTCAAAATTTATTGTGTATTACTAACGAATGCATAAAAATAAAATCTAATTAAAATTTACATACTTGAATTTAAAAATGTGAATTTAATAACAAAAAACAAACTAGAAAAATCGGAATAAAACACATAGATACACCTTAAAGTGTGAAAGAAACTTAAACTGTAGAGTAACAAAAATTATTGTCATCCAATGCTTAATTTTCCATTTTTATAGTATCGTTTATATATTTTATTTAACTTAACACTTTATACAGTTTAACATCAACTATTAATATTAATTTATTAAGGTTTACTTTTTGCTCATATCTATAAAAATGTACAACTACTCGTAAAAGGTATCAAAGTAGTAGAAGAATCTCATGAGTATAAATAATAACAACATTATACAGACTCAAACATATTTATTTTCATAAATTAAATGCAGAATCATTCGTGGAATCATTATAGGAAGATTTCGGAACATACCCGTGAAATAATCGATTACAAATCAAAATATTTATTTGAATGAAGTGGTCATGTGTCGACGTTTCACTACGATAAGTACGGTATAAAAAGATTAAGTTACAATATATTATTTAATGTTCCTTTTTAATTTATTTACATTATCACATCAGGGATCAAATGCACCGCAAGCGTGGCACACACCCACCGGAGAAGGAGGCTGCGTGATTTTAATATTGTATGACATTATGATATTGAAAGGCTTTTCTAGATACTGCTTGTATGTTTTAAAATCTACGTTAGATTGAATATGGAAAACGTTGTGCGTTAATTTTGAGCCAAGTATTCAGTATTAAGGTGGGCTCATTAGAATCCATTTCTTAAAGAAAAAAAAAATAATTTGTAAAAATATATCTAACATGCTAAATACTATTTTTTTATTGATGTTGTACTTTTTTCTTTTAATTTACTTTAATTTTTTGTGTAGTTGTTATGTTTTGTGAACTGGAAAATGTGTTATGAGGGAATAACATGCGTAAGCGGATCTGGACAATAGTCTCTGAAAAATTCAAAGTGTAGGTACTGACGCAATGTCAGTATAAAATATGGAAGGATGAGTGTCATCACCTTTTTAGTTGAGCATATTTGAAAACTGTTAAGTCATTGTAAATAATTCGGTTCACGAACGATTCTTTACAGTTTAGTTTATATACGAGGAGTTAATGAAGTATGAATGTGTATTTTATTCCAATCCGATTTTCCACATATATATATATATATATATATATATATATATATATATATATATATATATATATATATATAATTATTTATACTAAAATGAGTGGAAAATCGGATCGGAACAGACTTAAAGCGAGTGAAATTTCGCGTTCACAGAGGGCGTGCATGTTGTGCGCTCAGACCAACAAAAAAGATAGAAGGAGTGCCGCGTACACTTAAAAGAAATAACGAAACCGTGACTCACGCACATATTTTCTTTTTGTTTTCTTAACAGCCCGTAGAAGTTCAACACCGTGCCAGACGCACACATATACATCAAAAATATCTTTTTATACATAATAAGAGTGACCAACCAGCCACACATTTATCCTTGATTAAGAATCAAAATGCAGATGCGTTGTCACCTCTGAGGACTAATATAAAATGCCTCGTTTCAAGTAAAAAGAGTCACCGGATCTGTACACTCAACGACAACGATCTAGTTGTATACAACTATAAGACCGTTGCAGTGTGGCTCTACCACATAATTCCATCGAATAAAAATGCAGGTAGTCCAGAAATGTGATTTTGTAATAATTAGTGGAGGCCTATGTTCACCAATGCACTTATAACAGGTTGTAAATGACAATCATGATCTCAACAGTTTTTAAGTTTGCTTAGGCACAAAGTTTTTCCAAGAACGTGCCCGACGGCAATTGTTATCTACACAGCGTAATAGTCAGAGCAAATGTTCCCTAGCATTAGAAAGGCCTATGTCCATATTGTTAAAAAAATTTAGACGCATACGTGTACGTGGGCGCGCGTTTTAATATATAATAGCGCGTATGAGGGTACGGTTTCGCACGGTATGCAGCGGCGGATCAGTCTGCGCGCTCACAGCTGGTACCACTTCTTGTCCTTGTATTTGAGCATGAGGTGGTGCGCGGAGGAGGAGAACTCTGCGGCGTGCGAGTGCATGCGCTCGGTGCGGTCCTCCAGCTGCGACAGCTTGTCACCGCGCTCTAGCACCTGCTGGTGCGCGCGCGCTACCTCACTCGCAGCCGCGCCCGCGCGCGCGCCCGCTTCGGCCACGCCGCCCGCGCCCACCGCCCTCGCGACCGCACGATTCGGCTTGCCGCTACTCTCGCCGACTGCACACAACCACACTCACACACTAGTCGACAAACTGACATCCAGTTTACCAGCTGTCTTTCGTAAATTATTAAGGTTTATATACTATACATAAAACATACACGAAGGAAAGAAGAAATTAGAATAACAGTCGCTATACATCGAGAATTTATAATATCACGGCGTGAAATAGCTCAGTAGCTGATATAACCATGAATGATATAAATAATGCGTTAACATCAGGAATTGGAACACTAGTTGCTATACTAAATATCAGGATGTGAAATAGCCCAGTACTGAAGTAACCATGGATGCTAAAAATAATTCAATACACCGGGAATTTAAATAAAGTGTTGCTCATAGAGTCCCCTTGGCACTGACCGTCGAAGTCTGGGTCAAGAAGAGGTTTGTTTACGATCTAATGGAGTAGAAGAAAGGTGTAACTCAGGCATTAAAGGTGTAACTTAGGGGTAATAATGGAGCTATTTCTTATTTTTATGTCTTGTTTATGGACCAAAAAACATAAAATATCATTGTAAGATTTTAAAAAAGTACGGCACATGTGGTCGTGTTTTCATATTATATTGATACAAGTTTGTAGTTCATTGTGCTCTTTATCGATTCACTACAGAATTTCAAATGCCTACTGCTGAACAAATTATTCTCCTTAGATTGCCTCATAGAATACTATAATACACAATAGAATGGCTGTCAACTTTATTTTATACGAGGATTGGCGTCGCCAAACCCAATTCACTGTGTTGATAGACTGAGTAAATTTACACATTTTAGACTTTTGATTAATGTTCAAGATCATCATTAAATTTTAATACATACTTATTTGTAAATAGGGTGAAATTTGGCATTTTCTAAATAATTTGCATGCGAAATTTGGAAACGATTGTAACGTCAAAACATCTCGTGTTGACGTTTATATGTGTGAATTGACATGTTAGTGACATTTTAGTGGCTACGCGGGCTCCGCCCACTCCCAAGTTCTATTACGTATGCATTAAAGTATTCTATGGATTGCCTCGTAGTAGGAATATATACTGTAGTTTTTATGTTTTGCAAATGGGTTGACAACGCAGTTTTATTATTGATTTGAGTTATTGTGAAGACGATGGTGCTCGTCTCTGCTCATCTCCTGTTTACACATATATACTAGCGACCTATCCTACCTAGATTTATTAATTTGGCGTTATTTATTTACTGACATATTTTTTTGTTTTTTAACAGGTGGATTGTGTGCTCGTTTGTCACCCCTATTCTATAAAAAAAACACCCACGGGATATATTGGGTAGTGGAATCTCTTTCACCGCAACTACATGGCACACTTCAATGTTTTTATGCACATTTAAATAGTTTCGGTTTCCAGTTGAATATGAACGAGAAGCAGACTTACAAAGCTCTTCACGATCCAGCGGCCGGGCACCCCCGCCGAACAGTCCTTTAAAAAAGCTCTCTTTCGGAGGTTCAGGCATATCCCGCGGGAGGAACAGCTCCCCCAGCATCTCATTAAGTTGTTGACTGAAAGGTAATATATAACAGACAAATAAATATTACGATATACAGGATAACTGTCATATAAACAATATGATGTACAAATATTTAATTCCAAAGGCAGCGACAGGGGTACGGAGATCATTTCATATATCTTTAAATTAAAAACAATCGAGTTTCGGACTCGGATAGTGCACTCTTCTGACACACAAATAAATGATAATGAAAATACTTTATTTTGTTTCTAAGTAAATATAACTTTTTTGACTGATCTTGTTGCCGACCATGAGGTCCCTTGTTCGGTCGGGCCGACATCAACTACTGGGGGCTGCTCAGTAGCATCCTGGAAATCAGAAAGTTGGCGGTGTTTCATCCCCGTGCCTCGGAAAGCGCAAAACGCATAAAGCCGTTGGTCCTGAGCCTGATCTCTCTCTCTCTCTCTTGATCGTGTCGGATTACCCATCGGACTATGAGAGTGAGAAAATATAAATATACATGCACCTATACACCATACACCTATGAGCACTATAATTCTGTCCTGTGTAGATGGCTGGTCTGCGGTGTGGCTGGCCACGGTTGTTATTATATATATATATATATATATATTATATATATATATATATATATATATATATAAATGTTCTTCCACACCTTAGAGAGGTAACAAAAATAGGTACTTATTATATAATATTTTTAATAATAAATTACTTTGGATAATGATAACAGTAAAAAAACTTCTACTTCTAATTTAATTGCAGCGACATCGTAATGACAATATGATGTGGTAGAGCCATGTTGCAGCTATATTATGTTTGTAGCACAAATGGGTTGGCTCGACCGGGAAAAGCCTGGTTTGATACTGGCGTAAAATAGCAGCTGCTGTGTCTTGTATGGTGAGTGTAAAGAACCAGAGAATCTTTATGCTGAAAACGAGGGTGACAATGTATCTGAATTTTGATACTTATTTGAAGATGTAGATGTAGATGTGTCTGGGTCATAGCATCTAATTACCATCAGGTGAACTGTGTGCTCGGTTATCACCCTTATTCTATTAAAAAAACTCAACAGCTTAATATTATTTATTGATTACAGCCCATCAAAAGTCTAGTTCAAGTCTAGATTATTTTCTGTAACTGCGACGCTTGGCAAACGGATTGGCGGGTTGTTACTAGGACAGCGTTGTTTATTGTAACATACATGATTGTAAGCTATTATTTGAAAATAGAATAGGCCCGCTGGGTTCCTTGCTGGTTCTTCCCAGGACAGAGGTGTTTATTGCGAACCAGTGGTAAATGAAAAAAGTGACTTTCAATAACTATTGTTTCAACTATATTGAATAAATTATTGTTGTTACAATCTATATTGAATAAAAAAAGTTTCTGTTTCTGTTACTTTCCATCACTTGGTTCGTTTCTCTCTGGTGCCTTATACGCAGTGGCGAAGCTTCCATTAAAGCCGAAAAGCCGGGCTTGCCTTATTAAAACTGAATCAATCAATAATATCAATCAATAATATCAACTAATAAAATAACTCCTAAACTGTTTCAAATTATTTCAATTTTCCCGCGCACTCCACTGTTCGACACATGTCGACCGATGACCTCGTATTGCCTTAGCGATACGTTTATACAAAGGTACTCTGTGGCGATACTGCTGCTGTCATAAAGTGAGTTTTAATAGAGCGATTAGTTGTCTCCCTTACTCGCGTGGGCTTTTTACGGGGCTTTCGAGAAGACGATTGCTCTCTTTCTAACCTATGGCAAAATATTCTATAATGAAATATAACTACGAAATGTTTATATAGCAATTACTATTGAGCCAACAAGCCTGGCTTTGCCATGAAGTTGTTTAGGAGTGCGTTAGCGACTAGCGAAGTGGTTGCGGGCCCCTCGTATGCAAGTTCACTTCACATTTCAATGTTTATGTTTGTTTTTGGTGTGTTTGTTAAAAATGTATGCTTTTTTGAAGATTTTCAGTGAAAATGGGTTCATTGTGATGAATATAAGTGTGTTGAAGTGCTAATCGGCGAAGAAAAGGTAAAAATCTTTAAAAATGAAATTTAATATTCAATAAACATTTCTTCATACTTTAAATATAGGTACAGGACTTTTTAGTATTAACGTTTAATTAAGTTAGGCGTATTTAAAGGTTTAATAACTCAATATTAATATTATCATACGAATTAAAAATATCAATTTGAACAGCAGCATAAAGTATGAGACCTAGGTTTAATTTTAGAGGAAATAAGTGTTACAATCTTTTTTTAACGTGAAGCCCAAATTTTAATTAAATAAATCAAAAGAATACAGAAGAATGTATTGAGGTTTTTAAAGAATAGTACTCCCTTTAGTTATTTCCAGTTAGGTTTCTCTGTCTACTTTTCAGTATATAAAATTTTAATGGGGCCATCTACTTAATTCTATACGTAAAGTCATTTTATCGAACGAAAATTGGTTGATTCTCACGATGGTACCTAAAGATTACGCTAGATGGCACAAATACGCTATCGGCAAATTTATAGTGATATATGAGTATAAAAATATTATTTAGTACGGTTTATTATGAATTGAAAATGAATAATTATAATTATAATAAATAGTCATTATTTTATGGTAAAAAATTAGCAAAGCTTTATCTTCTCATTATAACTATCTAATTCCTGTCGTAATCTGTTCTTTTATGCATATAACTTAAACAAAATATAATTTCGAAGTTTCACATCTGCCATGCGTCCCTTTTTTTAACTTTGTACATAGTTTGTTTGTACTTTGTTCATGTATTGTATTGTTTGTAAATATCTCAAGCAAACCCAAACGGCTCTTTTCAAAACCACCGAAGGTGTGCAATTGCATATTATGTCATACAATCTATCTAGCGGTAGTATGCTTTCTGTGTGCTTTGTTAAACACGTCTTTGACAGCACTGAATATGAAACTAAAGAGTGGAGACAGCTCAAGATTGGTGTATTTTTATTAAACTGCTAAAAACAACAAAACCATATCTTGGGCTTGCCCTAGTTTGGAGCCCTAGCTTCGCCACTGCTTATACGATACCTATGAGACATAGGTACCTTAAATATGAGACCCTAAATAGAGGTGGCAAATAATCTTTAACACTTACCAGAATTCAGCATCGATGGTAAACTTCTGTATCTCAGTGGGCGAGGCGAGGTACAGTCCGTGCCCGCGGTTGCTGAAGCAGAATGTCTTCGCTATCCTGCAATGTCGCAGAAAAACTATAAAGCTAATATTTTCAGGCATACTGTAAAAGCTAATTATTTTAAATTAAATTTATATTCATACAAATTAGACAGTATAATAACCGTAACCTCTTTTGGTATTCGGTTGACCCAAAATACTTTGTAAGTCCTTTGCAAGTCAAATTTTAACTGAATTGTTACTATAACGATGAGGTAGTATTTACTAATTTATATACCTTAGTTTTTTAAGTGCATGTATGTGGAGCGCAGACAAATTTAATGAAAATGCTCTTTTGATTAGCAAACTTTGAAATATGCAAACATATTCAAATGTAAATAAAGAATTAGAAATGTTAAACATGAATCTTTCTTTTGTAGATGATGAGTTTATCCGTCAATGAAAATCGAAAATTCTCACCTTGTATCCAGGTCCTTTAGGATGAAACCTATTTAATTTAAAAACTAAAAAAGCAAAGCGTGTTGGATTGTATACTAAAGAATATGGCTGAATGACATAATTTATCTAAATACTCATGCTTTTACAATCATAAAAAAAAAAAAAAGATTTATAGTAATTAGACTTTATTAAAATAGCGATTGAACAAAGTAACCATAAAAGAACATAACAGCGAGAAAAAGAATTTGAAGCACCGAAAAGTAGTGTAAGTGTGACAGTGTTTTGTCGAAAACATTGTGGCGGAGTGTAGTGTGATAGGAACACTGTTTGCCAGTAGGTTATTAATTATTAAAAGCATATTGCAAGCATACTGATGGAGGTCAGTACGATTCATTGCAAGCATATCAAAGACAATTAATTTTATTGTCCTTTATAATGTTTAATTACGTCTTGATTTGCGAACAGTGCACTGGAAGCACGGTGCGATTTTAAATGTGCCTGCAATGACGCGCTCAGACCTTAGAAAAGTGTTCTTGGACGCAACAAGGTTGGGGAAGCTGTGGGGGTTACATGAAGAACTAACAGTTCTAACAAAGGAGCGCAAGAGGTCGCGGTGGGCGTCTTCACAGGACAGTGTGACGGCAGGTACATGACTAACGCAACGCGGCCGCTATGGGCGTCACTTACTGGTCTGTGTCCTCGTTAACAATGAGTTGCTGGCCCCAAATGGAGAGCATTGGGTCTACGATACCCCTCTGTTTGGACTGTGTCTGGAAACTACCAGGAACACAGGCACCAAGTCAGTATAACTATCGCCGCGCCGGTTGCCCCCGCCGCGGTGAAGCGATCGAGGCAACGAGCGTAACGAAACTTTTATTGATTATTATTTGTGTAATACAGATGTCATAGGTACATTTTATTAACTATTTTGATGATTCAAAAGGCACATTCGATCGATCAAATGGTTACTGATAGGACATGTGCGTAATAATAATAATGACAGTAACGTAAGGTCAGCACCAAGTAGCGTGTACAGTTAGTGGAACTGTGTTGTTTTATTAGACATTATTTTTTGTTGTGTTCGAGTCATGTTTGGAGTTCGTTTAGTTTTTAACTTATAAATAAATAAAAGCACAGGTGGTGCTCGATAGATTGGCAGAATTGAGACTACGTTGTGATAGAAATAGCACGACGGTAGCTCGGTGCTGTTGTCTTTCCAGTAAGAGATAACACCGTTGTTTTGTTTGGTGCAAATATCAATTCGAGCTTTAAGGTTGATATTTAAATGGAAGGTCAAATGCATAAAGGCGCTAATAACTGGAACCACACCGAAGTTATCTTGACTTTAGCCATGTTTCTACTTATATATGGTGTATAAACGTATGAGTTAATTGAATTTTTAATAAAAATGTGAAAAAAAAACTGCACGTGTAATTCAAATTAAATTCGGAGCCAACCTCAAATTAAAGTGTCCCGATTTATTTAAACATATTTTTGAAATAGTTTGATAGCACTGAAGAATCCATTTATTGATGTATCCGTTGACTGATTTCGTCGGTGATGATGTAATAGATGTCTTTGGTGAAGTTACAGGTTGGATTTTACTTTGCACCAAACAAGACATGTTTCTAACATCGATCGTAAGTCAAAGAAAGACTGTGTCTAGGCTCCTAAAGGATAAAACAGCAGATGGTTAATAAACGAGTTAATCAGCAGATGACTGATGAATTAATAGCTTGTATCAAATTAATAATTGTTTTTACGTATAACTTTAAGCATACAAATATTTGAAGCTATTTCAGATGTTAGAAAGCTCTTTATCATTTAGTGCCTTAATTTAGTGCATGGAAATCGTCTAAAAGTGACTCGTGTTCACCGAGCAGTCTAACGTGGGACTCGACACAAATTGCACATCCACTTTGGTTAAATTGGAGTCCGAGTCCATTGTTTCGGGAAATGCTAATACTTCCATGGAAACCACGTGTGGCTTTTCTATCAAAATATCGTTTGTAATCTGGCGCGCAAATTTTACGAACATGTAATTTAAGTAATAATGAAATACTTATATAAAAAGTTATTTTATGTAACGTAAGTGAAAGAGTTAAAACATAAAGCTTGGCTGTACTAATCTATGAAGCGTAGGCGAAGTTAGACAAGTCAAAAGTTTCTAGGTGAAGTGCTTTCACCAACTTTGCCAGAAAATCAACGATATTTTGAAGATACACAAGAGTCAAGGTTTATTTAACTGTATTCATACAAGATGTAAAAGGCATCATTACGACAAAAAGTGATGCTGGATCTTAACAGAGTCGCAAGCAATTAGACCCTGTATGTTTCACATAACAAGAAAAAATTAAATGTATTTCAATGTATATGGTCTTTTTTATTTTGTCTATAATGTGGACTGAAAATATATTAGGAATAAAAAATCGGTTTCCATAGAAGAAATTAATAAAAACTATATTTAATTCCAGGAGATCGCAGAAGTTTACCTGAGTTCGGTGAGCGGTAAGAAGTCCACGTCTATAAGCGGTCGCAGCGAGGGCAGGCTGTACGCCACCAAGTGTCCCGTCGACAGGTAATTCACTAAGCAGACGCTGTCTGGAATGGTTTTTAAGATGGTGTTAAGTCATTGCCATTAAATTCAAAACATGCTTAAATTCATTAAACAAAATTTCGGTTGCATTTATAACTGCTTATTTGGAACGGAGTTTTCGAAAGTCCATAACATATTTACATGTTATGAGGCTATAAGAGTTTTTCTTTATAAAATAACTGTGACAAATAAGCACACTGTCCACCCGAAGGTAAGTGGATGCTGTGGTCCATAGACATCTACATTCATCTATCGATTAAAAATCTAAATGAGATTTTCAGTAAAAACGGTCTCCGATTCTCAACATCCACCAAACGAAATTTTCACGCCGGTGCTCACCGGTGAGAGCGTAACCTGACATAACTAGGTGAATTCCTAGACAGGAAGGAGTCCCAATTTATTTAAAGGGGATCTTAACAGGATTTTAGCAGGGATGGGAGATATGATAAGGATATAAAACGACGAGTGAATGCGGGAAATAGAGTAAATGGGGCCCTGTACTCTATTGTGAGGAGTCAAAATAAAATACAGGATAATAATACCTTTAGGTATACGATATTACAAAAAGTCCCAGAAAATATACATACAAGGTCTCTATTACCAAATTTAAATATTTTATTAAACAACTATAATACTGTAAGTGTAATTAAGTAACTGTAACTGTATAAAAAGGGTTATTATAATATAAATGAATACAAATACAAAATATAAAATAACTAAAAATAAAAAATAATCCATGGGAATGAGGTAGTCACTTCAAAGCTTTTTCTTAAATAAGTTTTGTAAGTAGTTTGTAGAAGTACGTACAAAATGACATACACGGACAAAATGACAGGTATCATATTTAGGGTATGTTCCGAAATACAACCCAGTACACTACCCTTAAAATTCTGTCGATTCTAGCCCGCCATGGACAACTAAATGATGTGACTTTACCGGCTCATACCAATCTGTCAAAACGTGAACTCGCGCCTGTCGTTCGTTAGGGTCTTATGGCAGACGACAAAAATTGGTAAGTTACGAGTATTTTTATTGCAAGGAGTTTTTGTATTAGTATTATATTTTTTAAAGTTTTACCTTGCTTGTACATTTACTACACCCCTCAGGTACTTATTGTTGCATTTGAATAACTTTTCCGTATATAATATTTATTTTGAATTTATTGTTGAATTTTGGTTTTTTGTAACGCTATAAGGACAAAATGACCCATAGTTAATAGACAAAATGACATAGGTATGTCGTTTTGTCCATAAGAACCCAATGAGCTAATTTGCACTAACTATTAACCTTTATTCATCATTATCATCACCATTTCAACAGTCCTTCACAAATCCACTGCTGAACATAGACCTCCCCAAGGAATGCCACAAAGCATGGTCCTGAACCACCTGCATCCATCGACTTCTTGTATGTCTTACCAGATCGTCACTCCATCTAGTGGGGGGTCGCCCTATACTACGCCTACCGGTTCGAGGCTGCCACTCGAGAACCTTTTTCCCCAACGGTTGTCGGTTCTTCGAGCTATATGGCCACTTCAACTTACTAATCCGTTACTATGTCAGTCACTCTGGTTCTACCGCGGATAACCTCATTCCTAAGTTTATCACGCAGAGAAACCCCGAGCATAGCCCTCTCCATAGCTCGCTGAGCGACCTTGAGCATCCTCACACGGCCAGCAGTGAAGGACCACGTCTCAGATCCGTAAGTCATACTGGCAACACGCACTGGTTATACAATTTAGTTTTCAGGTTTTGTGGTATACCTGACGAGAAGATGTGTCGTAATTTCCCGAACGCTGCCCAGCCGAGTTTAATCCGTCGATTGTCCTCTCGGTCAAAGTTGGACTTACCTAGTCGGACTATTTGTCCCAGGTAAACGTATTCGTCAACAACTTCGAGCTTAGTGCTCCCAAAAACTACCGGCATAGATGTGACATGGAAATTAAACATGATCTTTGTTTTGTCCATGTTCATCTTAAGACCTATCCGTTGGGAGACACTATTGAGGTCAATGAGTATAGTGCTTAGGTCCTCCAGCGATTGTGCCATAAGGATTATACGTAGTATCGTCGGCATATCGAAATTGCCATTGATGTTAATACCGTATCCTTTCCAGTCCAGTAGCTTGAAAACGTCTTCCAACGCAGCGGTGAAGAGTTTCGGGGATATGACGTCACCCTGTCTTACACCTCTTTGCAGTTGGAAGTCTGGAGTCTGCAGTTTCGAACTCTGGTTCTGTACTCGGATAGCTATTATAGCTCTACTGTACAAACACTTCAGTACTTCGATATATCGACAGTCAACTTGGCACCGCTGAAGGGACTGTAGCACCGCCCAAATTTCGACGGAAGCAAAGGCTATCTCATAGTCCACATACGCTAGGCAAAGTGGCAGATTGTACTCTTTGGTCTTCTGTACAATATGCCGCAGGGTACGTGTGTGGTCTACAGTACTGAAGCCGTTTCGGAAACCGGCTTGTTCGGGGGGCTGGAAATCGTCGAGTCTGCGTGAGAGACGATTCGTAATGACTCTCGAAAACAGCAACTAGACGCGGTTCAGAAGGTAAAACGGTCTGTAAGTCTTCAAGAGAGCGTTGTTGCCTTTTTTGAAGAACAAGACCACCGCACTTCCGCTCCACGCGTCCGGAGTAGTGCCACCATGGAGAACGGAATTGAAGAGCTTCTGAAGGACTTTAAGTACCGGTGTTCCAACGGCTTTCAGAAACTTCTCGCCTGGGGTCTTGCCGTTTTTAAGGTGCTGGAGAGCTATTTTAATCTCGCTCAGACGGACGTCCGGGATATCATCGGAATAGTTTACCTTTATTTAAGGCTGTTAATTTCTTTAGAGGTAAAACCTTACAAAAACTATACAGTTTAAACAACCGATTCTATTGAACAAGGCGTTAATTCAACATCAAACACTGCTCAAGAACTTATTTTACCTGCTCCAAATCAAAATCGCCTATCTGTTGGTAATAAAGAACGTCCTTCATCCCATACTCTAGCAGTGCCTATTGAAGATATATCACCTGTATCAAAAGGACGTTACATGAGTGGCCAAGGAAAACGTAAGCCAAAGATACAACAAACCTCTTTGATTTTGACTTCTATCCAAACGTGAACGCAATCAAGTCCAAACATGACCCTGAAGCTCATGCAAAGAAGAGGAGAAGAAACGTTACCAAACCTTGTTCTATTAAGTAGGTGAAGAAGAAAATGAGACCCTTTTTACTGGAAACGAGTCCATCTTAGTCCTCGGGTGTGACAACGCATCTGTGTTTTGAATCTTAATAAAGGATAAATGTAGATGTCTATGGGCCACAGCATCAACTTACCATCAATAATTTGGCAAGCAACGCTCAAGATAACGAAGAGGATTGCGCTTGTATATATTGCAACGATCTTTTTTCCCGGTCAAGACCTGGAGAAGACTGGTAGCGGTGTTCAAGTTGTTCGCAGTGGGTCCACGCTTCTGGCGCGCACATTCCTAAACGAACAAAGCGATTCATTTGCGAGCTTTGTCTTTAATTTTATAAATTTTTTTGACAAAATTGGATTTTCGTTGATCTCAGTGAAACTTTAATAAAAAAAATAGTTTATCTTTTAAATATCTATTAGAATTCATAGGTACAAAACCAAAGATTACTGGTGTACAATAATCGTATGAATGGGCTGTGATTTATAAATAAAGAGTTATGACCCAAAAACTAAACTGTATGACATTTTGTACGCATTTCCCCTATAACCCGAATTTTATTGCAAAATTTTTCTTTGAAAAAAGTCTGGTTCTTCCCAGTACAGAGGTTTTTTCCCGAACCAGAGGTAAAAGTAAAAAAGAATGACTTTCAATAAGAATTACTTGTGATCTATATTAAATAAAAATTATTCTATTCTGAAACTAACACCTAAAACTTATTCGTTAACTCAGCTCACCTTTGAGACTGACGGTCTCCGACTTGACTACGAAGTCAGTGTCGACGATCTGCTGGCGGTAGACGCAGTTCTGGCTGGGCAGCGCCACGACTCGCGCCTGCTTCTCGGAGGCCAGCACCACGAACTGGCGGTCGCCGTCCACCGCGGGCACGGGGCTGGTGCGGCTACCCGAGCCCTGCTTAGTGGGAGTGCGTTCCCGCTTCTCCCTCCCTTCCCGCCCCTCCCGACCCTATATACATACCATAATTTTAAGGCTTATCCATACTGATGTATTGCTGTATACAGGTAGTATACAGATGAGTGTACATTGTTGTAAGTCCGCCCTCCCCGCAGCATATCGTTTTTCACAATACTTGTAAACAAACGTATAACTAAACCTTACTCCAATGCGTTTTCGTGCACTTTTAACACACCTTCGACACATATTTAATTTCTCAAACGAAGGTTTAGGACAAGTTTCGATCTCCGTTCGTCAAAATTTTAAGATGATGAGTTTTAAGCTCTACCCAGGTATTTTATTTAAGTAAAAGTGACGACCTGTTTGGTCATAAACAATCAAGAGATTAGAAGTATCCTTTTGTGCCAGTCCTTTCAATTCGTTTGCCGAACTGTTAAATGTTATACCTAACGATAACGAAATAATATCGTAAACTAAACCTTTGATGTTATCCTGACCGATGGAAAATAATGACTGGTTATTGCTAAATTACGAGAACTCATAGAACCAGTCATTGTTTTTTAATTGGGTATAAAATACAAAAGTTAAAAACATTAAAACTACTTTTACGGATTTTATCGCGTTTAATTTTTAATTGTTTTTAATTCCTGACGTTTCGGATGCTTTCCAGCACCCATGGTCACCGGGGACAGAGATGATTTTTTTTAACTATTGTTTATGGTCCGATATATGCATAGATTGGACCATAAACAATAGTTTTAATCAATGTGTAGTGTTCGCGTAAATATAAGAAATCATTATAAAAGTTAAAACATTACATAATAACTTAATTTAAATTGAATAAAGAGCAAAATCTTTTTATAATAACTAAATAATATTATTTGAGTAAATAATTACCTCTTTACTGTCATCCTTCCAACTTTCATATGAATAAGGGATTAAAGCACCATTACAGTCCAAGAAAGACATCGTTAATATAGAACCCTTGAGCCTTAAGATAGGTCCACCTGTAAAGTCAAGCATGGCTATTTATTTATTTAAGTACAGGAGCAGCCATTCAGCTGACTTCCCCTACACTTGCGATACTTTCAATATTTCACGCATTTTCTTATTCTGCTATGTGGTGTAATTTAAAGTTTTTATTCTGCCGTTTGAGAATATCGTTTAAGATATTTTTGAGTCAATTCGAAAGGATAAAAGTGCCAGTATATTTTGGGTTAATTTTAATAAACATTTTACACACAAAGTAATAATAAATCATTAAAATTTTACATAGTTCTTAAAGTTTAATTAAATAACTAAAATTGGGATAAGGCCACTGCAAGAGCATATTCTTGGCCCTTTTTAGTTTATTCATTTTGCAACGTTTTTCGATACCATAGTTCATGTATTTTGATAGTGTCACAACATACATATTAAAACGTATTCTGAATTTAATATATAATGGCAATATAAATAAATATAAAAAAATACAATTATCTTCTTTCAAGGCAGCTTTAGTAGGCAATTTCGTTGACTGAAGCAAATACTTTTTTTTAAATTTATTTATAATTTTAATTATGAATTTATCCAGCCGTTGCGGAGATTAGCCGGCAAAAACAGACAGACGGACACACAGACAAACATTTTAAAACTTGTTTTTTAGTTGTAAGTACCGTATATTATGTATTTTCATATGCATTTATTAAAAAGCTGTTATTTTGCCATTTAAAACAGTCACTTCAATTTTATTTATTTGTATAGATTAATGAGCTCGTAATTGGTAAAACTTACCGCTTGTAGTAATAACTACAGATTGTGTGTGTCTGAGATCAGCTTCAGGGAGGTTGATCATCATTGTTAAGACTGAGCCCAATGTCGTGCCGATCCACAGAGTTGGTAACAAACTCGTGGGGTCTGCAGATAATATGTAAAACTAATCATAAAAAATACAATATAATGTGATAACAAGATTAAAGAATCATTTAGTTATATTATTTTGATTTTAAATTCAAGAACAAGTTTTACAATATAAATTCAACGACCATATTTAGTTGAATTGAGTTTTGTAAATACGATGCCGCAACAGTGTTTGCTTCCTTCCTACCTTGCTTAGAAATTCTAGGTAAGAGAATTTTTGATCTATGAAGAACCATTTTTGGCTATGTATCAACCCTGATACCTGTTTCTGACGCCAGGCGGCTGTGTACTAGTGCTATGTTTCGTATTGAAGCTAAGGGTAATCAGTACATAAGAGGCTATGAGACGTGGCATCATATTTCTTAAAGGTAGGCTTATCTGTCTGAAATTGGCGCTAGATTTGTTCGAGCTGCACTAGTCAATAACTATTTGGTATAAACATTAATGTTATAGTATAATATATTATTGTTAATTTTATTTTTCAATATATATTCTCATAGAGTGGTAAAATTTGTTTAAACTCACCTGACTTTTTGGTGTAACTGTCTGCGAAGGCAAGGCACTGGATGCCCTCTTGGGAGATGTTCTCTAAGCTGGACATGCTGCTCGAACGCGAGCGCGAGAACGAGCTATCCAGCTTGTCTACGCGGCCCGTACCCAACAGAACCAACAGATTATCCCTCCGCCGAGGAAAGGGGCATGCTAAAGATCCGGAAGCACGAATGCTCGCGGGTCTTTAGGCGGCTGTTATGACTCTGGCTGAGTTTGGTTTAAGAAAAATTATGTCGTGACATGAAGGAAGGAATTGAAATGTTTTAACCAATGAGTTAGATATAAAAAAAAGTTTTAAGAAGATATCAGAGATATATTAAGTAACCGAATAAAAGTTTATGTTAGGATGGATCTCAACCAGTACCAGAACCAGCAACAACTACGTAGCTGCAAGCTACCACTAGCTTAGTATCGTATGTGCGGTTGTGAAATTAGCTGAAATCACCCATTCGGTGCAGCGAGTAATATCTTAGTGCTGGACACATCCACAACAGATCAGAAGAGAAGTCATGCTTGAAAAGTATCATCGGTTGCATGCCCGTCCAATCTCAGCTTATTTACACAACTTATGCTATTGTTTTTGATTCACAGTATTTTTTACAATGCCTTGCAGTTTGGAATAACACACGAAAAAAGAGTTATAAGAAGTAATTAAGAGGAATGGTTAAACATCTCAGTTACACAAAATGTAGTTAATCGTAAGTTGAACACATATCCACAATTCTAAGATATGATAAGAACGAATGAACATGCTTAGCGTAAGTATGAACTTAAAATGTCAATAGTGGCAAAAGAAACGTGAAATGAGGTTATGAGGATGAAGATGATCGACAGGCGCAAGCTGAGACCCGTCTTTAGCCGGTGAAATTTCCCTTATAAATTTTTCTAGTTAGAGCAAACATTCTCGAGCATCTATTAGTCTACCACGAGCCCATAATGTTACTTCATACACAACGTAGCAAAAACAAAGCAGACGTATGGACGGACAAACAAGTTCAATGCAATAAAATATAATATCTTTTAAAAGAGGAGCGGTGCAAAGGATTTTTTTAGGCACATGCTTCTAGTGGTCTGTTATTAAGTATGGTACCGGAAGCATACATAGACATAACGACAGCCGTATATAGAGGCAGCCAAAAACGAGCCATATAAACTTTTTGCTTTGTGGTCGAGCTAGAAAAAAAAATAACATCATGTACTCAAAAGTTTACATCATTAGTAAAACTGATTAGCATTCGAACTATGTGTATTATCTATGACTGGAACAATGTCTGAGCTGGTTCACGCTCGGATATGTCAAAGGTTCGATATAAAAATATTTTTTTGCAAATGAAGGCAAGCTAATATGTGACCTTTTGTGATAGTAAAATTTGAATTCCAGTAGAACGTAGAAAATAATTAAATAGAAAAGATACAGATCGCGTGTCTGATACAATATGGAAAGCCTCGCTGTTAAATGCACATAGAACATACAAAAATCCGTTTATCGTAACACTGACAAAGTGATAGATTATAAAATAAGATAGTTTTGAGTAGTAAGTCACCTTTTAACCTTAAATCTAGACGTCATGCCGCAAGTCTTTTCAGAGTGCAGTTACTCCACATAGTGCTGTGTAAAGGGAATAATACAAGACAGTCACAGCCACAATTTCGACTCTAACGTATAAACAAACACCTACGGCAAGTGTACAGGGCCTGGGGCCCGTGAACAAGCCACAAAAAGAACATTAATATGAAATAAAAAGGATTAAAGAAAAAAAGTCGATGCAAATGTCGTTTGGATACCATTGGGTTGCATTATGTGTAAGTACTCCATAGATGCGAGAGTCTGCGGAATAGTTGGTTCTGTATCAACAAATAACACACACATTTTACAAGCATGTCCCGAGTACGTTAGCTGCAGAGGTCAAGAGTCGCAATCCAGTGCCAAGCTGTTCAATTCATTTCGAAGAAACTAGAATAATAATTTTACTAAATACTTATTCACATCTAAATTCATTTCTTAATTTAACTCAAGTGTTATAGATGAAAAGCTGCTTACACGAGCAAAGTTATCACTTGTGGTTAAAATGTGAAACAAAGTTAGATTTATGTTTACGGACAAAGGTTATGATTGCTTTGACACCAGACGTCGAATCCTGAAATACATTGATCGGCAAACGCCAGTTCAGATTTTAGCTTTGACATCATACACCACGCGGGAGAACATTCTAGAAGTCGTATATGAGGATACAACAAAGGATAGGTATATCTAAAACAACTAAGTGGGAAATAAATGAAATCAGGAGTGATAAACTGTAATGATTACCTATTAAATGATTCCGATCTGAAATTGGAAAATTTTTAAATAAACATGTGAACTTAACGCATGCTAAACAAATCAAATGGGATCAAATGGTACGTTGAAAATATGACATTGCCTTGATCAATTCATGTATTTCCGAGTCTTTTCTTTTATCCAAATTTAAACGTTACGAAGTTGAAGATAAAGCACTGTTTACCATAAAATTTAGTGTAATAACATCTTTAATAAAAGGAAAAATACTTCCTATCTTCAATCTCATAACAAGGCCATAATAAGTAATGGAAAGAAGTGAAATATTGAAGAATTAAATCAAACAAAATAGAATGTAACCAAATGAAAGAAAATCAAGAAGAAACATTTCGGCGAGTTCGCTTGTAGACAAGAGCAGACGTGCTTGAGCCAAATTGTACACGAACAGCGGCAGTATGATAGCGCAACGCTGCGCATGCGCCGGATGCTACATCTCCCACTCTAGCGCACTTCAAGCGACCCGTCAGAAACCAACATAACGAAGGCGTAAACGAAAGTAAAGAAAAACTCAATAAAAAAAAGAGAAATTGCGACTGTTTCAGAGCGGAAAAGAGGCGAGACTGAGTCTTCGAACAAGGTGACTGTACTACCAAAACTGCAATACTGTCGCGTCGTGAGCAGGGAATGTTGCGGGGCGGGGGGGCGCGGCGTACACGTCGGAGGCGGTGGAGAGGCACTTGTGCAGTTTGCGGGTACCTTGCGAGCGCGAGCGGCGCACGCTCCGCGCCGCCCCCCGCGCCGCCCCCGCCTGCCCCGACGCCGCCCGCCCCGCCGCCCCCGCCTGCCCCGCTGCCCACCGCGCCGCCCACCGCGCCGCCCACCGCGCCGCTTACAGCGCCGCCCCCGCCGCCCGCACCACCCGCACCACCCGCACCACCCGGCCCGTTCATCTACAACACACACACACGTCCGACGCCGCCCTCCACCCCGCCCGCACCACCCCTAACCATCCCTGCCGCTACTACAGGGCTACCCTCACACACTTCCTCGTTGCCAGGGAAATCTCTAACGCACCGCTCCCTGTGTAATGTTCATACCGAAATGTCGTAATATCTATGATATTACTATGCGTAATTTGACATAAAATATACTAACGCTACCACTATTCTTATCATAAAAATAAATATTTACTCTGTTTAAATCTAAAGGACGATTGCTTAACACGAAGTGAATCTGTTACAAATTAGAAGATTGTTTTAGAAAATACATCGAGCTTGTCCCATGAAGCCTAAAAACCACCACCAATTGATATTTATTAACACAAAACAAAGAACAGATAGACATTTAACGTCGAGGACCCCATTAGTTACGTTACGAACGCGGAAAGTAGAGTTAAAAGATTGTGATCTCTGTGCCAGATATGTCAGGATTAGTAAGGCGTGGTCTAGACATCGGTTGTCCGACAATTAACCTTTCAGTTAGTTAGTGCCACGTGAACCGTAATCTATGTTCATACCTATCCGCTTGGGCACTTCAATTACTTCCTCGTTCGTTTGCTCCACAGTGTTCTGTTCGTTCCTCGTGCAAAGCCTCGCTACAAAATCTCCTGGGGAAAGCGTATTGGTCAAAATTGTGGCGTATGTTTCCGGGCGTGACCTACGCTCGGTACGGTATGATCGGTTGATGTGAAGCTATTAAGCGGGTAGTGCACAGCTATAGGGCTACGAGCTCGTATCATTAGCGTTTAACATCATCTCAGTAACGGACACCAGCAACACAGAGATCTTTACTTTTACTGATGCAAAAATTACAATCAATTGTAGTAATTCAATTACCGAGGAAATCTGCGAATAGATATTTAAGGCAGTTAGAGTCCTCGTCGGATGAGTTCTTGTCCTTGGAAATAGAAAACAAACAAATCAAACACCTGGCGTGCGTTGACGCTACACTCACACCTGTTAAATCGTTACACATTGTGAAATTTTACATGTGAAACATATACGCGTCTTATAAAATAACTTATGTTACATATTAACAAAAGTATAAAAAGCCAAATATCACAAAAAGCGAAAAGCATGTAGTAAAATCGTTATCGTGAGGACTACAAGTTCGAATTAAACATAGAAAAGTTTAGTTAAGTTATTAGTATGATTTAGATCTTAAAACATTACTTAATAATAATTATATCTAGCTACAGTTCACCTACGAGGCAAATTTAATATTTATAGTTAGTAATTAATTAAAACAAAAATATATATCGCCAAAACCATTCAAATCCAATTCCAGAGAAATTAAAACTACCTACTCTATATATTACAAAGGAACTAGTCGCTACCAAGGGCCCGGCTGGTGAATTGATGTGTGAGTGATATGGAACATGGCTCCAGGATGAGGCGGTACTTACTGAAGCGCCGCATGAGATTGCCGGCAAATGACGCCGGCACCTGCTGGCTCGTCGACTGCCTCTTCCTTAGATCACGCACTGATTCTTGCTTATTATATTTTATATTTGGAACCGACAGCAATCGTTGGTCTCTTTGATCTCTACTTTCATCTTTCTTTTTGTTTTTCCGTCGGGGAGGTCTTGTCGGTTTACCTTCTTCATCGAATAGTGGTAGGTTGTCAGGCCTTGTGACTTTTTCTTCCTCTAGTTTGGAAGGTGAAAGTTCAAGCGATGCCTCAATTTTATCTTTGTCCTGCCATCTTTCTTGTAGCTCTTTGTGCATTCTGTCATATACGTCAGTTGACCTCTTTTCCTGAAGTTCCTTATGCATTCTTTCAAACACGTCGGAGCAGACCCTCAAAGGTGAGGAGAGATCTTTGTCCTCCTCTATAGCTTCGGTCGCCTTTTCCACGGTATCGGGCGATTCTGAGTTTGAATCTTCTTTTTTTATTTCGGTTTCTGTCTTTTCGCTGGGATCGCAATAAAATTGCGAATTGCCTTTTTCTGTTATTTCGTCCACATTACTCTCAGGGGGAATGGTGAACGCGGACTTAAACTTGAGATCTACTTTAGAGAGCTGTCGCTTGAGATTAAAAGTTTTCCACGATGTAGATTTTCTTCGGAGCTCGAGCTTGACGCGGTCGTCGGGCTCGTCGGCAGGCGGGTCGGGGCTGGCTGCCGGCGAGGCGCGTACTTCTTCGAGCTTCGGGTTATACAGGGAGGGTATCAGTTTGGGGAGTATAGCGCGACTACTGTTTTCGTGACCTCAGTGCCGCGCAGCACTACAGGGAGTCGGTATTCTAAGGCCTACTCTGGTATTTAAGTCAACTATTCCATGAAGTAAAAATTTACGATAGGTTGCAAGACAACTTAAAGTACAGCTTAAGTACTTAGTTATTACTGTTGTATGTTTAAGAGATTCTTACTTTTATGGAATCGTCAACGGTAATGAAGGGTTCAAATGCGAATTTGTACAATAAAGAATATTGCATCATTAATGATATTCAGTTCGATCAGATTATCAGATTAATTTGAAACGCGATAACGATACAAGGAAGTCTGTGAAGAATAAATACGATTTACTAAACTCGTAAGTGACTCGTAACCAAGGATCGCTAATGTAGAAATGCGTGTAAGAAAGAGTGAAGACAGGCCGGATATAAAGAATAACTAATGATGCCATGCCATTTCGCTACTTGGAAAAGCTGGGGTAGCCAGTTGCAAATAGTTTTAAAATAAAAAATATTGAAACAGAACATATACGGAGGATATGATCAGGAAGTAATTTTCGCTGACCAGAGCAAATTATATTTAATCAAACAAAATTCGCAAATGAATATTAATGTGAAAAAGTTGCTTTCTGATTTGAAATTAAGTATTTGAAAAAAAATTGTTTGTTCAAATACTGTTATCGGCAGTTGTTTTGCGGTTGGATTGTTTAAGTCTATCTAGTCACAGATTCTAAGGGGAACATTATGGTACCTGATCGAGCGAGGGCGAGCGCTGTCGTTCGTGCGGGCGCGCGCTGGGTTCCGGTAAGTAGAGCGCGTGTGGTGGCAAGGCAACTACCACGCAACGTCGAAACATATCAACCACCACTACACCACGTTCACCTCCCCACGCCATGCTGTAATTTGTTCATTGTAAATGAAAACAGCTGTACAAACTTGCTTGGTCTACTTAATATTTTTTAAAGTTTGAATACTTGGCGTTTATCTTGTATCGCAAAATATGTGTTATAATTAAATTATTTTTTAATTCTGGCTATTTGCAGGAACTCTAATTTTTACATTATGGTTATGGCATTCAGAGTAGAAAATTGAAGAATAATTTAGAAAATCCCATTCATTCTTCATTTTTCCTTTAGGTCTCATATTGATACAACGACAGAAAATTTGTAATTAAATTATGAAGCTATAATCCATGCTTGTCATGTTGAGGCAGTGTAATTGAATGCAACACTTCATTTCATTCTTTGGGCTGTTATAAAAGAAGGTTATACGATATATATATATATATATATATATATATATATATATATATATAGTTTTGACTCAGTGCTAACAATCCTTTTCTGCTCAGAAATGCGTTTGGGAAAATACAACCCTGTCACGATTTCTGCGGAGAAGCGGTAGTGCCTTGCAGTGATGTGCTTCGGTCTAGAGGGTAAATGTGTAATGAAAACAATTGTAATGACAGGCCACAAGCCTTCAAGCCATCTAACCCATCAAACACGTCCTCACTGCATCAACCTGTACCCTTCGTTATTTGAAGTTAGTCTGTGGGCTGCAGCAGCGGTTTACCCTCAGACTTGACACGTAATTTTGTAAAAAGTGGGGCGTATACGGCAAAAACTCCCTAACAAAGGTTCAGCTGTGAACTAATATGGGTTGATAATGATGAAGAAGATAGAAATGTACCGCTCACAGTCCGTAGGAGGAGTTGATGGTGAGTGCGACGACGGGGTGCGGCGGGCCGAGCTGCAGCGCGACGAGTGCAGGCTAGAAGCCGGAGGCTGCAATATCAATTGATGTGCTCACAGTCCGTAGGAGGAGTTGATGGTGAGTGCGACGACGGGGTGCGGCGGGCCGAGCTGCAGCGTGACGAGTGCAGGCTAGAAGCCGGAGGCTGCAATATCAATTGATGTGCTCACAGTCCGTAGGAGGAGTTGATGGTGAGTGCGACGACGGGGTGCGGCGGGCCGAGCTGCAGCGCGACGAGTGCAGGCTAGAAGCCGGAGGCTGCAATATCAATTGATGTGCTCACAGTCCGTAGGAGGAGTTGATGGTGAGTGCGACGACGGGGTGCGGCGGGCCGAGCTGCAGCGCGACGAGTGCAGGCTAGAAGCCGGAGGCTGCAATATCAAACGATGTGCTCACAGTCCGTAGGAGGAGTTGATGGTGAGTGCGACGACGGGGTGCGGCGGGCCGAGCTGCAGCGCGACGAGTGCAGGCTAGAAGCCGGAGGCTGCAATATCAAACGATGTGCTCACAGTCCGTAGGAGGAGTTGATGGTGAGTGCGACGACGGGGTGCGGCGGGCCGAGCTGCAGCGCGACGAGTGCAGGCTAGAAGCCGGAGGCTGCAATATCAAACGATGTGCTCACAGTCCGTAGGAGGAGTTGATGGTGAGTGCGACGACAGGGTGCGGCGAGCCGAGCTGCAGCGCGACGAGTGCAGGCTAGAAGCCGGAGGCTGCAATATCAATTGATGTGCTCACAGTCCGTAGGAGGAGTTGATGGTGAGTGCGACGACGGGGTGCGGCGGGCTGAGCTGCAGCGCGACGAGTGCAGGCTAGAAGCCGGAGGCTGTAATATAAATTGATGTGCTCATAGTCCGTAGGAGGAGTTGATGGTGAGTGCGACGACGGGGTGCGGCGGGCCGAGCTGCAGCGCGACGAGTGCAGGCTAGTAGCCGGAGGCTGCAATATCAATTGATGTGCTCACAGTCCGTAGGAGGAGTTGATGGTGAGTGCGACGACGGGGTGCGGCGGGCCGAGCTGCAGCGCGACGAGTGCAGGCTAGAAGCCGGAGGCTGCAATATCAAACGATGTGCTCACAGTCCGTAGGAGGAGTTGATGGTGAGTGCGACGACGGGGTGCGGCGGGCCGAGCTGCAGCGCGACGAGTGCAGGCTAGAAGCCGGAGGCTGCAATATCAAACGATGTGCTCACAGTCCGTAGGAGGAGTTGATGGTGAGTGCGACGACGGGGTGCGGCGGGCCGAGCTGCAGCGCGACGAGTGCAGGCTAGAAGCCGGAGGCTGCAATATCAAACGATGTGCTCACAGTCCGTAGGAGGAGTTGATGGTGAGTGCGACGACAGGGTGCGGCGAGCCGAGCTGCAGCGCGACGAGTGCAGGCTAGAAGCCGGAGGCTGCAATATCAATTGATGTGCTCACAGTCCGTAGGAGGAGTTGATGGTGAGTGCGACGACGGGGTGCGGCGGGCTGAGCTGCAGCGCGACGAGTGCAGGCTAGAAGCCGGAGGCTGAAATATCAATTGATGTGCTCAGAGTCCGTAGGAGGAGTTGATGGTGAGTGCGACGACGGGGTGCGGCGGGCCGAGCTGCAGCGCGACGAGTGCAGGCTAGTAGCCGGAGGCTGCAATATCAATTGATGTGCTCACAGTCCGTAGGAGGAGTTGATGGTGAGTGCGACGACGGGGTGCGGCGGGCCAAGCTGCAGCGCGACGAGCGCGGGCTGGAAGCCGGCCGCGCGCCGCGCACCGCCCGTGCCGAGGCCGCCGCGCACGCGCAGCGCGCTACCCGTACCCATGCCGCACTGCAACCGCACCGAACGTCTCGTGACCTCACAGATTTGGATATGGCTAATACGTGTCATAGATAATTATTTACTATACAAAGTACGTCGTTATTCATGGGGGGATATTTGCCATAGTTGCCACGCTTGGCGAGCGGGTTGGCAACCGCAGTTTTTTATTATAACACAGTTGTTATCAGAAAGATGCTGCTGCCCATCTCCTGCCTGTCTCCCTCTGTCGCCTCTTACGACACCCACGGGAAGATATAGGGTAGTGGATATTCTCAACCGACACTACACTCCCGAACAAGCCGGTTTCCGAAAAGGCTTCAGTACCATAGACCACATACATACCCTTCGGCAAATTGTACAGAAGTACGAAGAATACAATCTGCCACTTTGCCTGGCGCATGTGGACTATGAGAAAGCCTTTGATTCCGTCGAAATTTGGGCGGTGCTACAGTTTCTTCAGCGGTGCCTAGTTGACTGTCGGTATATTGAAGTGCTGAAGTGTTTGTACAGTAGGGCTACGATGGCTATCCGAGTACAGAACCAGAGTACGAAACCTATCCAACTGCAGAGAGGTGTGTAAGACAGAGTGACGTTATATCCCCGAAACTCTTCACCGCTGCGTTGGAAGACGTTTTCAAGCTACTGGACTGGAAAGGATACGGTATTAACATCAATGGCGAGTACATCACTCACCTTCGATTTGCCGACGATATAGTCCTTATGGCAGAATCGCTGGAGGACCTTGGCACTATGCTCAATGACCTCAATGGTGTCTCCCAACGGATAGGTCTGAAGATGAACATGGACAAAACAAAGATCATGTTTAATGTCCATGTCACATCTATGCCGGTAGTTGTTGGGAGCACTATGCTCGAAGTTGTTGACGAGTACGTTTACCTGGGACAAATAGTCCGACTAGGTAAGTCCAACTTCGACCGAGAGGTCTATCTACGGATTCAACTCGGCTGGGCAGCGTTCGGGAAATTACGACACATCTTCTCGTCAGGTATACCTCAATCTCTGAAAACTAAAGTGTATAACCAGTGCGTGTTGCCAGTGATGACTTACGGATCTGAGACGTGGTCCTTCACCGCTGGCCGTATGAGGACGCTCAAGGTCGCTCAGCGAGCTATGGAGAGGGCTATGCTCGGAGTTTCACTGCGTGATAGACTCAGAAATGAGGATATCCGCAGTAAAACCAGAGTAACCGACATAGTCCAACGGATTAGTAAGCTGAAGTGGCAATGGGCCGGCCATATAGCTCGAAGAACCGATAACCGATGGGGAAGAAAGGTTCTCGAGTGGCAGCCTCATACCGGTAGGCGTAGTGTAGGGCGACCCCCCACTAGATGGAGTGACGACCTGGTAAGACATGCAGGAAGTCGATGGATGCAGGTGGCTCAGGACCGTGCTTTGTGGCATTACTTGGGGGAGGCCTATGTTCAGCAGTGGACTTGTGAAGGGCTGTAATGATGATGATGATATAAAGTACGGTATATCGCACTCAGTCAGCACTTAAACGGTCGCAAACGGACGCAAATCACTTAGTTTTATTATTATGCAATTATTCCGTGTTTGTACCAATTAACTGATAGACTTACATCCGACAATTTACTTTGTTGTTATTGTGATTTATCTTATTGTTGTGGGCAATTACGAGTCATAATATGGTAAAATTTTTGAAAAGACAAGAAAGCGATATATTCCTGTCAGTTCATAGAGTTTTCAAACAAAAACGAGTTTTTTTTTTAATTAATTAAAATTAATAAGTTGGCTAAGATTGATGTAGAAAGAAATAGGTAAATATTTAGAAGTTCTTCGCTAACCCTACTTCGTTGTAAAACCCAAAGCACATAATATGAGAAAATTAATGCTAAGTTAGAGTGCAATGTTAAAGATTTTGACCATCTTTGACTCATAACACATTTATACGTTTGACATTTCATTCGAGCTCTCCGATCTTATATTGAAAGCAGTAGGTTAATATTGAATACGAAAAGGATCATAGGTATATTTACTACTTTTTATTTGTTAATATACTACTGCAGTGGCGCTGTAAATCTATAAATAAAGATTATACAATTTTAAAGCAAGAGATTTTAAGACAGATTGATGAGCAATTTAATGCAAATTTATTAACTTGTTACTTGTATATAAAGTAATACAATTTCAAATTGTTATGGTGGAATATGCTTTTATGAGAATAAATAGCATTATTTTGTTTTGATAATGCAAATGTTACCCTTCTTCCTTCTCCTTCTCCGCCGTCACTTCCGCGGCTAAATGACGCTGAGCGGCTGCCTTCATGTTCTGGTGACGTTTCTTCTTCTAGCATGTCCGATATAATTGGAATTTCTAATACCTGAATAAAACGTAAATGAATATGTTACTGGTATAGTATTGATTTCAAGTAATCTAAAATATGTTTTATTTCTATAAAGTGTTTTTCACTGACGAGAAGAAAAGCAAAACGGAGGACCATTCATTTATGATGGAGACCTTATACCTACCTACCTACCTACCTACATACCTAAATATTTCAAGGTTGTGTGAAGTACACCAACATGCACTGGAACATTATTAGATTAAGAGGCCAATACCCACTCAGAAAGGAGAAGAGGCCTGTGCCCAGTTCTGGAACCTATGTGTTTACACACGTGTCTTTTTTTTTTTTTTTATAGAAGAAGGGGCAAACGAGCATGCGGCTCACCTGATGTTAAGTCACTACCGCCGCCCATGATCAACCGCAACACCAGGAGAATTGCGGGTGCGTTGCCGGCCCTTTAGAAAGGAGTAAGCTCTTTTCTTGAAGGTCCCCAGGTCGTATCGGTCCGGAAAAATCGCCGGTGGTAAACTATTCCACAGAGAGGTTGTACGTGGAAGAAAACTCCTTGTAAAACGTACAGTGGTGGACCGCCAAGCATCCAGATGGTGTGCATGGTATCGGGACGTTTGACGTGTAGTGCGTTCACGAAATTTGGCGGCTGGGATTAATACGAACAATTCCTCAGAGCACTCCCCGTGATAGATGCGATAAAATACGCAAAGAGATGCAACATCTCTTCGCAGCGCCAGTGAATCGAGCCGATCGGAAAGCACTCGGTCGTCGACGATTCGAGCCGCTCTGCGCTGGATGCGGTCAAGTGGAAGAAGCTGGTACTGGGGAGCCCCAGCCCAGAGATGGGAACAGTATTCCATGTGCGGGCGAACCTGCGCCTTATAAAGTTGCAGGCGGTGTGCCGGCATGAAATACTGTCCCGCTCTGCTGAGCACGCCAAGCTTTTTAGAGGCCAATTTGGCCTTCCCTTCCAAGTGACCACGAAACTGCACGTCACTCGATATGTCGACGCCGAGGATTCCGATACTGGCTGAGGCAACAAGGGGAGTGCCTTGAAACTGAGGGGATACGACAAAGGGGTTCTTTTTAGCGGTTAACGCGCAAACTTGTGTCTTCTGGGGGTTAAACTGGACTAGATTTAGTCGCCCCCAATCCGAGACTCTGTCCAGCAGAGACTCGACTTCAGACACAAGTTTGTCCCGGCACTCGGAGACGTTTTCCCGAGAAATATTGGCTCGGCCGGTGTAAAGAGCATCACCAGTGCTGTCATCTGCATAGCAATGAATGTTACGGGTATGCAACATGTCATTGATATGCAGAAGAAACAGCGTTGGCGATAGCACGCAGCCCTGTGGAACACCAGCATTAATAGGCTTGCAATCGGAGCTTGCACCGTCTACAACGACCTTGATGCTCCGATCTGCAAGAAAGCTGGTGATCCAATCGCACAATTTCTCGGGAAGCCCATAGGAAGGGAGCTTCGAAAGAAGCGCTTTGTGCCAAACCCGATCGAAGGCCTTCGCAATGTCCAAACTAACGGCCAATGCCTCCCCCCTTGAACTCTACTGCCTCCGCCCATCTGTGAGTTAGGTAGACCAGAAGATCACCAGCTGACCGACCACGGCGAAAACCGTATTGGCGGTCACTAATCAGCTGGTGATCTTCAAGGTACCTCATGAGCTGGCAGTTTACAATGGACTCCATTGTTTTGGAGAACAAGGAGGTGATGGCGATTGGCCGGTAGTTGGACGGGTCAGAGCGGTCGCCTTTTTTAGGGATCGGGTGGACGTAAGCCGTCTTCCATGATTTTGGGACTACGCCTAGGGAGTAGGAGTACCGGAAAAGACGCGTTAAAACCGGTGCCAACTCTGGAGCACACGTCCTCAGCACAATTGGGGGGATTCCGTCAGGCCCACTCGACTTGTGGATGTCCAGGGAGAGGAGTGCTTTGCGAACCGAGCGCTGTGTGAAGTGCACTTCCGGCATGGAGCACTCACACCGCGGGATGGTCGGCGGAGTACTCCCCCCGTCATCGAGAGTCGAGTTAGACGCAAAGAAAGAGCCTAGAAGATCGGCTTTCTCCTTTGCGGTATGGGCCAGTGAGTCGTCCTCCCTGTGCAGAGATGGAAGAGATGGCTGACAGAAATTCCCCTGGACAGCCTTGGCGAGAGACCAGAATGCACGGGTTCCAGAAGGAAGGTGAACTAGTTTCTCGCCAATTCTGCCTATGTGCTCTGACTTTGCCTTGGCAATGACTCTTTTGAAGGACCTAGAGGCGGAATTATACTTCTTTTTTAGAGCGCTGGTGTTTACATCCCGGGACGCTGATGCATCAGCCCAGGCTTGGTAACACTCCTGCTTATAGCATGATGCTATTTTACAGGAGCGACCAAACCATGGCTGAGACTTGCCTCCAATGGGCACCACAGAGGAAGGAATAAAAAGTTCCATACCCTGAAGTACCACATCAGCGACAGAATCCGCAACAACGTTGGGATCATCCGGCGAGAAGCAAACCCGCCCCCCAAGGGTAGGATGCAAAGAAAGACCGCATCCCATCCCAATCGGCTGACCTATAGTGCCAAACACGGCGGCAGCCTGCAGAATGCAACCGCGATTTCAGCGTGAGTGGCACCACACTCCGGATAAGACAATGGTCCGAGGAGCCTAAAGGGGCGTCGACGGATATCTGATATCCGTCAGGGTGAGAGGTCAGCAGAAGGTCCAACAGGGAAGGTGCATGATCCTCCACATCTGGAATCCGCGTAGGCGAAGTAACCAATTGTGTCAGACCATATGCCAAGGCAAAATCATGAACAGATCTCCCCGCATGATCGGTTAAACGTGAACCAAGCCATTCGGCGTGATGGGCGTTAAAGTCGCCGAGGATCACGATCTCTGCGGAGGGGATCTGCTGTAGCAACGAATCTGCAGCCATTTGGACGTGGTCGAATAGTCGGTCTGTTTCGGCATTACCGCTATGGGACCTATAGAGGCACCCGTAGACGCGCGGATGGTCGTCGCTGTCTACGCGTAGCCAAAGGATGGACAGGTCCGAACCTTCAAGTCTGCCGAGGCGTCGAGAGCAGATGTCCTCTCTGACGTAAACGCAAACTCCAGCCCGAGGCACAAAGGAGTGTTCCAGTTTGTACCCCGGGTAGGAGAGATACGAGACATCAGCCGGAGAGGACACCTGCGTCTCGGTCAGAAAGAGCAGAGCCGGCCTCGCCGTCTCGAGATGGTTGTGGACGGCGTTTAGGTTAGAGTGAAGTCCCCTGATATTGCAGAAATTCACGGACAGCGTGGCAGGGGTCGCCTTGGTCTTGTTGCTCCGTTTGCCCCGAGCAGTTGTAGTCTTGAGCGGAATTTTGCCCCCCCCCCCCCCCCCCCAGAATACGCGGGGCAGCCTGAGCACCCACGCTCAGAAGTGGAGAAACATGGTCGTGGATGCTCAGCTAGGGATTCTCCAGGGGTGCTGGTACCCACCTGGGGCAGTCTATCATTATTTAATTCCGCTACCATGTTGATGGGTGGGGGGGGGATTTGGGCCTCCGGCCACCTGCACTCACCAGACGAAACGCGGAAGCAGAGCTTCCACTTCACGCCGGTATTCTGTAAGGTCGTGGTACCACCCCGGTTTGAGCCGGCCCATACGTGCAACAGTGTCGTGTCTCGTGTGTACATATATAAAAAATAAATAATATGCCTCTGTTTCCGTTCTTGTTTACGATTTCTTCAATCAATGTATCATTTGGTGAGTTTTGATTATAAGCGTACGGAGAATTACTACAACTATACGAGGGTTACAACGAGCGCACCTGATGGTATCTGATATATGTTACACTCACATTAATCCTCGAACAATTATCAAAATGCAGATGCGATTAAATAAAACTAGTATTTACGGATTTCAACGCATATATTAACTTATTTTGTATTCCCGAAGTTTTGAGCACTTTACAGCACCCATGGTCACCGAGGGGGGGGGGGGAGGAGTGGACTGAGGTGCTCCATATAATTTTTTTTTTAATTTTTGTTCCTATCTACGCAGTATGAACTTATAGTATCTTGCAGTATTGCAGTTGAATCCTTGAGTTGGGATTTAATTTTATTAATTGAAGGATCCCAAGCCATCATAGTATCATCACCCAAGCAGATGGTAGCACTCAACCATCATCTTATTATCGATTTTAGCTCGCGTACTGTAAAATTAACAGCGAACGCTCGCGAGCAACCTAAGTTCGATCCTCGCCGGCACCAATGAAATTGTTAATTGCTATTTTAAGTTCTGATTTCCCATGTGCTTGGCGGTGAAGGCAAACTTCGTGAGGAAACCTACATGTCTGAGAAATAAGAAAAACTATGTCATAGTAATGTGAAGTTTGTCAACACGCATTGGGGCAGTGCGGCTCTCTGAAATGCGAGGACGCCTGTGCCCAGCAGTGGGACGTATAGGCTGTAACTTTAACTTTTATTATGCAGATGCGTTGCCACTCGTGAGGACTAAAATGGAGAGCCACGTAAACAGTGAAAATGTTCTGCTGCACTAGTCACTCACGTGCGAAACACAGCAACATTATGCTGCTATTTCAAGTAATCCAGCTCATTCGCGCTGTAGTGTATTAGTGTAAAATGACTTGCTACTGTTGGCTATGACTATATAGATTATGTCTCAATGGTAGCTCTCCTTCTCTGCCGTACGGGTAGTTTTTTTTTATTTATTCAACAAAGTAACAGTTTTAATTACAAAATCAATTTCTTCGTGCCATTAAACATCTATTGTTTGTCTTGGCACTGCACAGTTTGCTCTTAATTATACATTAATTTACTTAACCTTATTATTTAAATGACATTGGAATTAACTTTTACTTAAACTAAATATAAAGTACTATGAAACATTTGTGCTACAAATTATTAGAATAAAAAATAAAAAAAATTTGGCATAAAAAATTTATATAAAATCTATAATATGTATCTCTTAACTATTTTTTTGTGGAGAAGGTAGTTTTTGGTATTGTTTACCA